AAAAAAAAAAAAATACAGAAAAGGCGGATTAGTTATGTACACAAGGTGCTGCTGTGGACACCTTCAAATCCCGAAGCACTACTTGGCGACGCCAAGGGGCAAATTCTTCATCTCGATGGCACCCCTCGTCGAAGTTCTGTGAGTAGCTTACGGCGTCGTATTTGAAGGTGATTGGCTTCGGCGGCCGGTAAATGTTCCTGCTCTCGGTGACTATCTTCCGCAGGAGCTTCCGCAGGCTCCGGGCGCGATGCCCCTTGGGGGTTGCGTGAATGCGGGCGTAGTCATCGTGAACGGGGACGCACGACGGCGACATGCAGCAGGAGAGGTTCGGGGAACGGCGGTAGACGATTTCGCCCATATTTGGGTGGAGAGGGAATGTGTATTTTTTGTGGTGGTAGAGTTTGCTTTGTCGATGATGGGAATAAGTTGTGTTGTGGGGTGAGATGAAGGCATCCAATGTGTGAACTGTGGGACTTTGGAATTTTTATTATCCTTTATGGTCCTTTTTGCCTTTTGTGAGCTGCGGGGCTTTTATTTTTGAGAGTGTCGACTCAGTACTCACAAGCATATAATTACTAGGAGAGAGAGAGAAAGAAAGAAAGTGAGTCAGCAGAATTTGGACCAATGTTAGTTAAATCCATTTGATAAATTTAAAACTCGGGTAGTTATGGAATTATCATCTCATATTTCATCAAATTAGTGGGGTTAACATGTGGTATAATTCACAATATCAAAATTAAGTACTGATATAATTTACAATATAAAATTATTTTGTCTAAGATAACATGTGTGTTCAAACTGATTCCCTAAATCACTTTTCTTTCCCAAATTGCCTAAAACCTAGTTCCTTCATATTGCCACCGGTTGAGCCTCCTTCTGCAGCTGTCCGGGTCGTCAGTGGACGGCCCTCCACTGCACAACCAGGGTCTGGCCATGGGCCCTTCTTCTTTTCCCGTTTAATAGTGGTGTGCAGATGGGTTCTCACAGGTCACTCGAATATGTGTGATGCCCGACAGAGTCCCGGTGTGGTGGAGATTGGTTGAGTGCAGCGCCAGCGGTTGGTTGTGGCTCGAGCCGCTTATGTTTTCCACCGGGTTGGGCCGACTCTTCTCGTCGGGCCTTGAGGTTCCTCTGTTTTCAGTTCTTTTGCTCCGGCCAGGGATATCTTAAGACCTCTGGTCGTTGGCTTCTCCGCATCGTGGGGATGATGGTTGGGTTCAATTCTTGGGGCTGGGTGCAGAGTGGGTCGCTCGTCCGGGCAGCGTAGGTGCAATGGGGCTTTGACGTCATACATTTCCCTTCCTCCCTTGTTTCTCGGCCCTGAGTTCGAGAGAGGTTAGCAGTTTAAGAAATTGGCTAGTGGTGTTAGTCGATTTCGGGAAGGTGTCGGACTTGGCCAGTGGTGTTAGTCGGTTGTTGGGTGATTGTGGCTTCTTACGGTTAGAGAGCGGGACATTTGTTTTGATTGGTTCGGGGCTCGGGTTCTGGTGTTTCGGTTCTCTTCTTGAAGTCGACCTATGTGATCTGCTGTTCAATTCGGATGTTCTGCCGAGGGAGGGCTTAGATTTTTTAGTTTGTCATTCCGTTTTTTGTTATATTTTTTAGTTTGTCTGTTCGTTTTTGTGTTTTTTGGTTTGGGTCGTTGATCTCTGTGTTGTCCAAGTAGCGAGTGAGCATTACCCTGTTGGGGTCATTTTCTCTCATTCTTTTCTTGGGATTGTTGGTTGTGTTTTTTTTTTTTGTGTTTCTAGAGTATTACCCTGTTGGGGTTGGTTCTAGGCGGTATTTTGACTTGTCCTCCCAGTCTATTCAACCGTTGGTTGTTGTATTCAGTGGTTGCTTGTTTCTATTCAGCTGGTGGCTGTACTTTTGCACATTTTTGCGATGTTATTTAATATCTATATCGTTTCGAAAAAAAAGCATGTATGTTTAAAATATTAAAAACGCCAAAAAATTATATATTATTCTTAAAGAATTTGAATTCATCTATAATTTTCCTAAACTATTTTGTAACCAAAAACATGTCTAAGGACATTTAAATTTAACATATATATATATATATATATATATATATGTATGTATGTATGTACATCTATATATATAATTTAATCAATAGAATGTGTAAAAAATTTACCCGAAAAACATGTTTAGAGGTATATAAAATATTAGTAATAACATATTATTCCAACAGAGGATTTCAAATTCGAAATAACGAAAATTTAAACAAAATAAGTCAGAATTTTGAAAAAATAGAGATTTACAAAATACATGTCAAACTGAAAAAATCCTTCATTGTAAGAAGTTTATATGCAAAACGCGTATACATTGGCGTTTTTAAATTTTGAATACATACAATTTAATGCATCATATGTTGGAATCGATATTTGAAAGTTAAAGTGAACAAAATCCTTAATTGAAGGAATGGTTGGAAAATCCGTCCAAAATGATGGGAAAATTCGGTCCAAAATTTCTTAAAAATATTTATATCTAAAAAACGTTTGCATTGGTCTTTTTGAATTTTGAAATGCATACAACTGATATACACCAAATTTTGTAGCCGATATTTTAAAATTATAAGTTCAAAAAAAATCCTTATTGAACGGTTGGCAAATCCGTCCAAAATGATTAGAAAAATCGGTTAAAAAATTTTAAAAAATATTCACAACATCATTTTTGAATTTGAATTGAACAAATACCCAATTTTGATGGGAGCATTAAATGCTGCCCAATTTTGTTGTTACAAAAATATATATATTTTTTTAAATCCTGTATTAGCATGTATTTAATTTTGCTCGAAATTTTCGCTTACTATACATATATATGGAGCATAATTAGGATTTCTACGCCTAATAGGATAAACATATATTTAACACCTTATTAAGGTCTCTAATGTAGGCTATAAAAATACCATGTCCCACCTCTTCCCCTACACATTATGATGCTCGATTTTAAGATCTTAAAAGGAGAGAAAAATCGTGTTCTTCATATATTCGAGAGTTGGGGAGATTCTATTAGTCGCACCACGAAGATTAATCGAAGTAGGTGTTTAGGTAATACATTAGAAGGCTTTAAGGTACAATTAATTCGAGCCTTTTAATCGTACAAATTCCAGCGACCAGAACCACCGTCCTCAGTAGCCTTTTAATCGTACAAATTCCAGGTACAATTAATTCGAGCCTTTTTCTAATGAATTTTAATAAATATTATTTTTTTATTATAAAGATAAATATAATTTATTTATTTCACATATACAATATGGATGTCAAATCGAAGATCATCAAAAGATGATTAATTTGATATATTATATATGTAAAACCGATAAGAAATACAAAAGTTATCAACTTTTAAATACATTTATAATTCAATAGCTTATTGAAGGAAACAAATCAAGATTCATGGATATATTAGTCACTTATTGTCTCACTATGTAAAATTACAAAAAAGTTAAAGGGTTATATTAGTAAAAGTGATATTAAAATACCTAAGTTAGCTAAATAATATTTATGGAATACCCAAACCTAGATGATTAATTATTAATATATCAATATTATTCATCTAAGCCTAATTACAAATCATGATTCTTCGCTAAATAGGATTCCGAAGCACCATAAGCAGCCACGTAGGCTCAGCGCATTCTAGAATTATATATAGGGAGGATTTCATTTTTTTCGTATTAATTTGTTCAGAAAAGCAAAAGGGGGAGGTTGTTGAATACATATTATTTATTTTGCTTTTCTGTTTCTTTTTTAGTTACATGAACATATATTTATGGTAGAATATTAGATTTTATATATGGACGAATATTATTTGATATATAGTTATCTTCTCTTAATAGATTTTCTATTTAGAAAATGAAGAGATACAGAAAGAAGGATATATAATGTAGAAATAAAAAGAGAAAAAAATTAAGAAAAGGAGAGAACGTCAACAACGTGCTTTGGGTGGGCGTGAACTTGAAGAAGAGCAACAAGCTTACAACCAATGAATTTGTGAAACTTTTGAAAGACAAGGACTGAACTTGGAGATCAAGCAATCCACTATTCATCCGAATTTGTATTCTTGATTTCTAATCAATCATCATTCTCTTGTGAGTATTTTGTTTTATTATTCGATTGTTTTGTTTGATACTCATTTGATCTAGTTCGAGATTTTGTTATATACTTATATTTTATTTCTTTTAGACATACTTGGGGAGTCCTGAAAACCGAACCGGTCATCGAACCGGTGCTTGATTTAATCAACGTGCTTGATTTTTTCTAGTTAAATTTTGGCATGTTGCTTTAGTTTACAAGTGTTTCTCATTTGTTAGGAAAATTTTAACTGTATGTGTTCGTTTATTTTTTATGCATGAAAGATTTTATATTGCTGATTTTTATTTTATTTTTTTTACGTTGAATATGTGTACAGTATGTCATGACACATCAGAGGACACCTGAAGTCTGGTTTTAAAATTCAAATTTTTGGTTGAAAATTTGGATTCTTGGATACATAAAATTCTAATAGTACCTATGTACCGAAAATTTGAATTCGTGGATACATAAAATTCTAATAGTACCTATGTATGACATGGACATTTTGGTGAATTTTGAGGTAACTTTGAGAAGGGGATAATAACATTTGGAAAAAAAAAAGGAGATATGAGTTTGACGGTTTTACTATGGAACCATCGGATGGCTCTGCTTATGGAGTCATCCATAGTTATTCACAAAGGGTGTATTGGCACGTGTTATGCAATAAGTACACATTGGACACGTGTCAATACATAAAGTTATGGATGACTCCATAAGGAAACCATCCGATGACTCCATAGCATTTCTCATGAGCTTGAATAAATTTGAAGTGCTTGTACTTCTTATTAAAAATTACCGTGAGATTGTCTTCTAACTTGAGTGTTGGAGTTTTCTCGCCGGAAATCCTCCCGCGTGTTTAGTTTTTCAATCTAGCAAATGATTTTAAGTTATGAATGTGATAGCTTCTTCACATCCCCTCTATCTAAAATTTGGAGGCCCTGGAATGTTTTTTTTTT